CACAGTAAAAAAATAAATAAACAAACAAACAAATAAACACTGAGTCATTTCCTTTGCGGTTATTTTAAACAAAAGAGGAGGTGCCCTGCCGCATTTCGCTTTCTCACCGTTACGGCAATCACAGTCCAGCGCACAAAGTAGAGGCAAATGCACAGTACAACACGCGGCTCCGAGCGTGCGCTGGAACTGGACCGATGCTGGGAACAAACAGATGCGGGTGGAATAAAAACAAAACAAAACAAAACAAAAAGAAGGAAGAAAAAGAAGTCACAGGTGGAGAAGCGAGGGCGTGGTAGCGGAGGGCCGCCATCGAGCGGGCCCCGACGGAGCGTGGGGCGGTGTGTGCCCTCACTTCGACAGGGGCTCTCGCTCCTGCGATGGCTCCTCTCTGCCCCCGTCCTCCGCGCCGCCCGCGGGCTCCTGGCGCCCGGTGACATTACCGTCCACGTCAATGTTGTCGCAGATACGTGCGTCCGGGATCAGCAGGAACACCATCGGGATGGACACGAGCGGGAAGAGGAGGTGCCCCACAATCACCAGGTACTTGACGTTGCTGAAGTCGCAGCCGAGCTTGGGATCCGTCTGGACGGGCCACTTAAACTCCATCAGCAGCGAGCCGATTGTATTCGACACGACCTGCCCGAAGTTTGCGAACCCGGCAAGCAGCGCGTACACCATGCTCTCTGTCCCGCGCGGACACAGCCGGGAAAGCAGAATGGTGCTTGGCATGAAGTTCAGCATGGTAACACACCCCAGCAACGACCTGGTCACCGAGCACATACACCACATGATCGCTGACGCGCGGGCGGTTCCAGCGCTCCACAATGATGAGGTCAAAGATGCTGGCGACGACCGCCACAAGTGTGGTGACGACGAATGTGACGCGGTAGCTCCGCTTCGAGAACACGTACCGGAACAGCACCACCCCAGCGATGCCACAGACGGTTCCTATGATGCTCCCGACCGTGTTGTAGAAGAAGTACGAGAAGTGCGGTCCGTCGGGGAGACAATCAGGCTTGGCCATGTAGAAGCTGTCCAGGGCGCCGGGGAGCTGAATGTACGCTGCCGTGCTGACGAAAGAATACAAATTCGCCTTGGCGATCACCAGCGGGAGGGCAAAGAAACCAAAGCCGCAAATAAAAACCGAGACGGCGATGCAGGCGCCAAGCAGGGCCCAGATGTTGCCAAAAAGGGTGACGAGGGCCATCGCGACTGCGCCCGCCGTCACGAGCAGGCAGTAGACAACCATACTCCAGTTGCGTCGCGCCACCTCCTTGTTCACCTCGAAGACGCCGCAGCAGCAGGTGGGCAGCGGCGGCACCTCCTCCTCCTCCTCGTCCACGCACACCTCATTTGAGAGGCCCAGCATGGCGTGGTCGCCCACCTCCGCAACCACCACGCCGCCATCTTCTTGCAGCTTTGCATTGGGATCCTTCGCCGCCTCCGCCAGCCCCACACGCAAAAACCTGGCGTCCTCGGCACGGTTTGAGCGGTTCGTGTTCTCCCCGTACCAGTTCATCACGAAGAAGAAGGTCGCCAAGAACTGCAGCACGGCGGCAACCATCACACCGACCCACTCAAGCCTCGCGTCTGCGAGCGGCCCGACGATGACGGAGGCGACAAGGGAGCCCAGGAGCACCCACCACCACACCCAGCTCACCAGCGACGGGCCTGCGTGAGGGATACGGCGCATCAGGCGGCTGTAATGGCCCTGCGTCAGGATGTCCACGGCGGCCTTGGTGAAGCAGGTCAGGAAGACGAAGACCGCTGCTGGCGGCGCGCTGGCCTTCGTGGCGGGCAGCACCCCAAAGGCAACCGCAAAGGCGGCACCGACCACACATGAGACGGCCAGGTACCAGCGCTTCGTGTACCCGAAGAAGCTGAAGATGTCGCTGAACATGGCGGCAAGCGGCTTCATCGACCATCCCATCGTTGCCAAATTGGACATGCGCTGGTACGTCATGGCGTCAACGCCGAAGCGCACCATGAACATGGGGTAAAGGGAGAAGCGGACAAGGTAGTCGGCGACACCCTTGCAGAGAAACTCTGACAGACCCACTGACAGCACGCACCTTGGCCCGAAGGCCTCCACACTGGCGCCAAAAATGGGGAAGTAGCGCAGAAACGGGGCCGCGTTGAATAGCGTCCTCGCCTCGGCGTGCACGGGGCGCACCGGCACCGTTTCCTCCGCGGAGAGAGGGGGAGGGGGGGCAACGCCGTCAGTTCCCGTCGCGGGACCCACGCTGTCGAATCTGGCTTGCGAGCTCATCACGGAGTGCTGGCTAGGGAAGGCAAAGTAAAGAAAAGGGAGAGAGAGGGAAGGGTGGATCGAGAGGGAGGGTGGCGCAACGGGATGGACGGTCCCACCAGGGCGCCCTTCCGCACCGCAGCACGTCTCACGGGGCCCCCGAACCCAGGCGCCCAACGCCGCCATGCCGCTGTGGGCGGAAGCAGCGTGTCGCGTCGGCGTCGCCGCGGGCCACTCACGCCAATTTACACCGGCTCCCCGCAGCCACGAGGCCGGCGGCGGAGGGGACGACGACAGCCGCCGCAGCTGGCGACGCGCCGAGCGCGTTGAGGCGCAGCACCGCACACGCCGTCGCCGCGGCGCGCAGGACCTCGGGGGCTGGCCGCACAAGCCGCCCGGACTCGACAGCACCCAGGCACTCCACGGCCAACGCAACGCGCCGCCTCAGCCGCCGCAGGGAGTGCCCGACGCGTCGCAGGCCGGAGGGCACCGTTCCCGTCCCTCGGGCACCGCTCTCGCTGCCTGTGCCGATGGCGTCAATGGCCGCGCCAGCTCCTATTTGCGCCACGGCGTCAGGTCCCACAGAGAACCGTGTGCGTCTTGGGCACACCGTCAGACGCGGTGCGCCTGCGCGACAGGGCAAACTATTCGGCTGCTGCGGCCCGTGGCACGGGGCGACGCTTCGGAGCCATAGTTGAGGCCGCTGGGTCGTGGAGCGGCCGCCCGCCCCCACCGCCCCTCACCCGCCTCGGCCGTGCGGGGGTC